TGGGGGAGTACAGGTTCTACACTAATATTTTCGTCATGCAGGGTTAATCTATGGCATTTTCCTGTTTTGTTTCAGGTTTTTTCCCCCTGTGATTCTATCACTTTTATGAGATATTTGTTAAAGGGGTCATGGCTGGCTTGGGAGGGAGGCTTGCTTTGCCTGCCTCTGCCCCCGTTTTATATTTTAGAATGTCATCTTCCCCATCTCTGGTAGGAGTTGCTAGTCAGTAAACATCAGCTTAGAAAAGGCTGTTCTTTGATACAGCTTTCTTGTTTAGGTCATTTTCTTCTCCTTGTTTAATCTAGCCTTTTGCCCCCTGAAATGAGTCTTTAGTAATGAATACAGTATTGCTGCAAGGTGGTGCAATAGCACTACATCTTGGGTTGCCTGAATTGATAGACTAAATTTATATTTTTTTAATTTATTTTTTGACCATAATGTTTAACTAAAAAAAAAAAATCAAAGGTAGGTAAAGGCTGCCTTTGCTTTTAAGGGAGAGAGAATAAGGATTTCTTCTTTAGTCTGATAAAGTTTTAAACTTAAAAAAAAACCTAGAGCAGTCTATATGCATAATTTGTTGGCTCTGCCATTGAGATATATGTATGCAAGTGTGAATTCTGTTTTCTTTTTTTCCTCTACTGACTTCCTCCTCCCAACTCCCCCTCCCCCCCGAATCAGGATCACTAACTTTATTCAAAAAGGCACAATAACCTATTGTATGGTACAGTGTTCTGATTCTGTCTGTGGGGAGGAAAAGAAAATCACTTTTATGGATTTCAGATGCATACTTTTGGAAGAAAACCTCTGGCATTTTCTTCACTTTAAAAATTCTTTCCCTGTACAAGCTAGAGGGCCTATGCATTCTACAGAATCTTTGAAAGATTATAGTATATTGAATATTTTCTTTGCCATTTAATACCACTATTGAATGCATTAAACATATGTTTATACTACGCCACATGCATTAATTTAGCAGTCATTGCATTGAAACTTAAATAGTTGAAGCTATAATATCCTGGTCTTATTGCTGAATTGAAAAACATGCAAGAACACACATGCTAAATTTCTTGCCCATGCCTTTATAAATTTCAGTTTGTTCAGTCATACGTGTTGATGCTTTTTTTTTTAAACTTTGGTTCAGCTATCCAGTTTTTGAATTGCCTTCCTTGCTGTGTTCTTCATCTGCGATCTTAATCAGGTCAAGTTAACTTCGTCATTTTTTCCCCCCCAAAAGCTTCCACAAAAGGAACACTGTAAAGTGGTTGAGGCCTAGGATGCGAGAACCATATAGCACTTTGTTTCTAAATAAAAAATGGTGATATTTCTACTAAGCTCAAAATACTTTAAATCAGTAATAAGTAGACACAAATACTTATTTTTACAGGTTTCATTAATCAGAACCTCACAGTATTGTTTCATGCTGAGGTAACTGGCCAGCCAGCAGAAGGAACCCAGAAAAATGACTTTGAAAACATTAAAGATACTTACAATTTCTTATAATAAAGATTAATATAAAAGAAACACAGTAACATTTAGTTATGAGGCAATTTAGAAGTACTCGAAGTAACCACAAAAATTGTGTTGACTTCTGCTTCATGAAAATTAGAGGAACAAAGTGTCCTTGACAAATAAACGGAGAATGACCGAGGATATTTTGGGGACCTTTGGAAGTAGATACACTAGGAATAAAAGATAACTATGGTCCTTATAGAGTAGAAATATGGCTATTTATTCAGCACAACAGTTCAAGGGTTCGAAAGGTATGCTTTTTATGCAATCGGATTGTGAAAAAATGTTTTTGAAAATGAAACTTTGAAATAAAACTCCTTTTTGGAGCATCTGAAATGATTAAAGTTATTGATAACATTGTTTTACCAATTAGAAGAGTAAAACAACACCTTGTATTTGGAAATAGTAAAATAAATTTGCACAATTTCCTCTGTGGGTCTTTTTTTTGTAAGCCAGTGTTATAAACAACTGAAAGTGATTTGTGTTTTGATCTGTTTGAAGGATATAGCACTTATCCTGCTGTTGACATAGTGAATGCCATCTTTTTACCAAAATGTTTTTCTGTCAGAAGGATCAGAAATGCAATTATTAATCAAACTCTTTGTTCTCAGATGAGCTGACTTTACATTTGTTAAAGCCAATTTCTTCCTGTGAATGTTGACTGCTGGGCTAAGTGAAATCTGTGCAGGTTTTGTTTTGATGCATTTCATCTATGTGAATACTGGAATTATAATTTGAAAACACCATACCAGCAATATATGGGCTATGATTCTGATAAGAAGTATTTCTTTGTTACTAAATTTTCAAATTCTGAGCTAAGCTATGGATAAATTAATGATTGCCAATTTAATTTCTTAAAATCTTTTTACGACTGCAAAGAACAGAAATTGCAAGCATTCTTTATAAATAAAAAATGGGCTAGATGGTAGTTCATAATAAGGGAAATATGGCATTGTATCTGGAGAGTGTTCTAAATTCTACACAGATAATGAAAAATTCTTAAAGAATTTTGTATGAATACATGTTGGGTTAAAGAATTTTTATAGTGATGATGGAGTGCCATGAAGTTAATACTTACAATCCAGATTGCTGTAGTTTACACTTTTCTCTGTTTCAGACCTGGTGTGCACTATTTGTACTAAGCACGCCACAGAGTGAATTATCCAAAGTCCATTGATTTTAATGTGTTTTGGTTTGTAAACAAAATTATAGTAATTTCTTGCACATTTTTGAAAAATAATTGTATAAGGATTTATGTATCTGCTTCTGGATACAGTGTGTAAATAAAAATTTCATTCACAAAAAGATTTGTGGAGTGTTCTATACCTTAATGACGCTCTAAGACAAAAACATTGAAAGACACTGTAAAATCTGGGCATCTGACTTAAACATTTAAATTTTAATGGTTACAATTTAAACTGTTCTGGATATTTATTTTTTTTTTACCCCTGCTAGTTGACTTTTCAAAACATTTCTATGTACCAATTATATTAATTCCTACTTTTCAAAGGAAGAAGAAAAATTGCCAGAACATAACTAGAATATGATTTTTAAAATCATACTCCTTCCTACTGCTGGGACTAGCATTGCATGCTCAGTATGGTGTGTGGTTCACGGGGGATCTTGCTGGGTTTTTGTTGTTAAGTCTGCATGATACTTTTCTGTACATTCGTTCTATTCACTCCAGAAAATTTGGGGAGAAATAAACTTACCCTCAAATATTTCGTTGGTAAGTGGTGAAAGGTGAGTAAGAGTTAGTTTTAAAGCCACCTAGCATGATCCAGGCAGGGATGAAATGTTTATAGTCAAGATGCCTGTAATCCTAATTATTTCTACCTCACATTCATTCAGCTTCATAGCTGTGAGAGTGGAAGAGAAACGCTAAGACACTGCCAGATACAGAAAGCCTGCTGTACATCTGATAACATAACCCTTGTACCAAGACACAAAGGCAGGGCTTGGGCATGGGGAGGTGAATTAAGTCATAGAATACCACGGAAGGGACCTCAAGGATCATCTGGTCCAACCTTTCTTGGCAAAAGCACGGTCTAGACAAGATGGCCCAGCACCCTGTCCAGCCAAATCTTAAAAGTGTCCAATGTTGGGGAATCCACCACTTCCCTGGGGAGATTATTCCAATGGCTGATTGTTCCCATTGTGAGAAATTTTCCTCTTGTGTCCAATCAGAATCTCCCCAGGAGTAACTTGTACCCATTACCCCTCGTCTTTTCCATGTGACTCCTTGTGAAAAGGGAGTCTCTATCTTCTTTGTAGCCACCCTTTCAATACTGGAACATGGTGATAATGTGTCCCCTAAGCTTTCTTTTCTCAGGCTGAACAAACCCAGTTCTCTCAGCCTTTCCTCATACGGCAGGCTTCCCGGTCCTTTGATCATCTTTGTGGCCCTTCTCTGAACCCTCTCCAGCCTGTCCACATCTTTTTTGTATAGCGGGGACCAAAACTCAACACAGTATTCCAGGTGTGGCCTGACTGGCACTGAGTAGAGTGGGATAATGACTTCTTTATGTCTGCTGGTGATGCCCTTGTTGATGCAACCCAGCATCCTGTTGGCTTTCTTTGCTGCAGCAGCACACTGTTCACTCATATTGACCTTGTTGTCCATCAGGACCCCCAGGTCCCTTTCCACAGAGCTGTTCCCCAGCCGGGTAGTTCCCAGCCTGTGCTGGACTCCTGGAATACGTTTTCCCAGGTGCACGGCCTTACATTTGTCTTTTTTGAACTTAAAGTCTTCCTCTGCAATAAAGAGAAGACCTCAAAGATTGCAAACCTGTAAGACCTAGTAGAAATCCTTAATATTTACAAAACAATGTTTGATCGCTTCCCTCCAGCACATGCAATTTGCTTGCAGTCTCTGCTTTTCTGTTTTTTTCCTTTTCAAAGGCTAAGGTTCAGCCGAGCATTTTAGCATCCCTTGTGACATTAGTATGCACATCTTTGACTTTTCTGGTGAGGTAATACCTACTGTTTCTTGTATAAGCCATGTAAAGTAGGAATAGGATATTGTAGGGAGTGGTGCCAATGGTGGTTTGTTTTTGAGGAACGATTCAGAAATAGGTGTTCTGCCTCCTGAGCCGGGAGTCTGCGACTCTCCCAGGCCAACTTGCCACATGCTGTCAGTAGACTACTGAATCTCTTTAAGTGCAAACTTCGAAGATAGTGCTGCTGAGGGTTGGGTTAGGCAGGGCACCAGCCCTCATGAAACAGGCTTAAAAAAGAAAGGAACGTTTCCTTGCATAGAATGAGGAAGGAAAGATAAATGAGATGTGTTTCACTTTCAGTGAGTGAGAATGAGTAAGTTTGGATGCACATGGAGGAAGGATGCATGGCGGAGTATGGACCACTCCTGACACTGAGAGCTCAAGGGCCATTTGGGCAATTATGTGTTGTGGGGGGAAGAGTCAACATACCGTGAAACGAAGAGGAGCTGTAGCAAACA